CATAAAGGGTGGCTACCAAGAAGATGGAGACTCCCTTTTTTTTACAAGGAGTCACATGGAAAAGACTAGGGGTAATGGATACAAGTTACTCCTGTGGAGATTCCAGTTGGACTCCAGAAGAAATTTTTTCACCATGAGGACAATTAGATAGTGGAATAATCTCCCAAGAGAGGTGGTGGATTCCCCTACATTGGACAGTTTTAAGACTCAGCTTGGCAGGGTGCTGGGCCATATCATTTAAACTATATTTTTACCTTGAAAGGTTGGACTAGATGATCCTTGAGGTCCCTTCCAACCTAGTATTCTATGATTCTATAAGCATTTGCTATAGTGGAAGTTGCTCTCATGCACTGACTGATGCTGTGGGATCATTACACAGGTACCCTCCTCAGGCATTGACCAACACATTGTTGAACTCAGTGGTTACAAACCTAAAACAGAAGACTGCAGATATCCTAAAAAGCAAATGGAAAATCAATACAGAGAAAACCAGAGGGATATACTAATTAATAGATCTTTACAGGCCTCTTAGTAGACCTCAGTTTACTATATAAGTTTTACATTTTACAATTTAATTTAATAAACGCTAATTGAAATAGAATTCACAGGTGAGAGGGTTTCACCTCCTTCAGTAAGAACTATTATAATCCAGGATATAAACTCAGACCAGTTAGCTCCACTTCAATCATGTCATAACTTTATGATTAAAAAAAAAAAAAAAGGAAAACTGTTCAAGAATGATGGCCCTCTCACATCTATGTTCTTTAATCCCTACCTGAGGGTGAAACAACATCTTTTGGGTTTTTGCAACCTAATTTCCATAGGAATGGTCCAAGACAATAGGTTGCAATGGTTTTTTAAAATTTTGTAATTTGGAAACTTTAGGTATTAAAATTCTTTTCTGTCTGTAAATGTTTACGTAAATATCTATTTTGTTCATGTCATGTGTTGCACTACTCCACTTACTGTACATTAGCCAGGAACATTTAATTGATAAACCCATACTATTGCCTTTCCCTAAGCTATGGCACTAACTTGGGTCTCTCTCCTTCCTTTCTTACCTATTATAGGATGAATACAGTGTATATTTTGGACCTCTATGCTCTCTGAAGTTAATCTAAAATTGTCCAATGATTTCAAAATACAGTGAAAGGGAGGAAAGAGGCTGGCAGACAGAAGCCAAGACAGTGGGAAAGAGAGTAAGTCTCACATTCTTAGAAGACCATGCCAAAAATGACCACTATTGTCTTGGCTTTTATATTAATCCCAGTCTCCTTACTGAATTCCAGTCTCAGTCATTAAACTGAATCATATTATTCCCTTCTGATTATTAAGTGGATATTGTCATTAATGTTAGTAGAACAAATGTTTAATAGCTGATAACACAAGTACAGGCCATTTTAAATTCCCTCTGTGACTTTAGTTGCATATGTTATTCTCCATTTCACCTTAGACATTACAAGTGGTTATCATTACATGTCTGACATATTGTCACACAAAAGGACACCATTCAGGGGAGAGAGAAATTAATGCTAGGCAACCCACCCTGTACATAAGTTGCCGAAATGCACAACCGTATCACTGTTATTAATATGAAATCAGAGAAGTAGTAATGAGGCAAGTGCCATCATGCAAGATTCCTTGAGAAAGGAGAAAGTTCAATATGTAAGCTGCAATACATTAAAAAAACCCTCTATCAACTAATACAACTCCTTTGAGCAGAAGAGAGTTCTGAAGGCTAACAGGCACAAAAG